GAATCATTTTTAATAAGATTCTACCAACTTTGCACAACTTTAGGGCAACATACAGTGCCTTCAGAAAGTATTCACATCTCTTGACTTTTCCACATTTTGTTGTGTTACAGCCTGAATTTGAGATTTTGTGAAACTGATCTACACACAATGCCCATAATGTCAAAGCGGAATTTTTGTTTTGAGATAAATAAAGAAAAATGCTTAAAAATGAAAAGTTGAAATGTATTGAGTGAGTAAGTATTCAACCCCTTTGTTAAGGTAAGCCTAAATAAATACAGGAGTAAAAATGTGCTTAACAAGTCACATAAATTGCATGGACTCACTCTATGTGCAATAATAGTGGTTAACATAATTGTTGAATGACTACTCCATCTCTGTACCACACACATGCAATTATCTGTAAGGTCCCTCAGTTGAGAAGTGAATTTCAAACACCGATTCAACCACAAAGGCAAGGGAGGTTTTCCAATGCCTCTCAAAGATGGGCACCTATTGGTAGCTGAGTTTTTAAAAAAGCAGACACTGAATATCCCTTTGAGCATGGTGAAGTTATCAATTACGCTTTGGATGGTGTATCAACACACCCAGTCACTACAAAGCTGCATCATGTTATGGGTATGCTTGTCATCGGCAAGGACTAGGTAGTTTTTATGGATAAAAAAGAAATGGAATAGAGCTAAGCACAGGCAAAATCCAATAGGAAAACCTGGTTCAGTCTGCTTTCCAACCGACACTTAAGTTTTAATTTAAGCGAAAAAGGGAATTTCTTTGCCATGTTGTACTGCAGTATTACTTAAAGCTGGAAACCGTAGCGATGAAACTGCCACGTAGGTTTACAATATTACAACAACAAAGATGTTACTTCAAATCAAGAAAACATCATTGCACATCATTGCACACGTGATAAAACAGCAGAGTATGTACTGCAATTTTTTTTTTTTACCAAGATGCTGGATGCTCCTCTCCTCGATTCATAAACAAAACAAAAACAATAACAAATGCGCCTGGGGCAACCAGTGGTGCTGTTTCACCTAATGCGGATTCAAGCTTTAACAGTCTTGTTGCAAACAGAATGGAAGATTTGGACTAGATTTTTTAACACAGGGTTCCTTCTTTTCACTTCATCATACATGCCAGTAATGTGGAGTGAATGTAATGTTGTTGATCCATGCACTGTTCTCTCAGCTCAGCCATTGAATTCTGCGTCCAATAAAAAATAATTTTAAACCCCATAGTGATGTCCCTGAGCAGTTTCCATTCTCTCTCACAGCTCAGTTAGGAATGATGGCCAGACCTTTGCAGTGTCTGGGTCAGTGGCGGTCGGTGCCATTTAGGATTAGGGAGGACTCATTTTTTTATTTTATGAGCATGGCCTTATTTCTATTACAGCATATTGGATGACTGTTATTCATATTCTATTCACCCAGCTCAATGTAACATCGATAGGTTTAGGCTACATGATATTCAAATTAGCCTTATACCCATCATGAGGTTGCTAAAACCTAGCCTACAAATGAAAGTTTATAACGTAGATGCATAGGTCGAGAGACAAATTGGAGTAATCAAGGTGGCACAGTGACACATTCAATACCGCCTTGCACACTCTTGACTGCATCTAGCTGATCTGGGGTGTAATCATTACACTGCATTACTTTTTATATAGTCTTCACAATCCATGTACCGCAACACAACAAAAATTATCATGCTAGACATTGGTGGCTTACTACTAGTACTGCATGGCAAAGCAATGGACAAACTGAAAAAAATGGAACGCTTGCGACACACTGCATGGAGTACCACCCGCAACCTACGCCTCGACCAGACCAGCAGCATCACTGCATTTTGGTACGCCAGAAGTATACTGAACAAAAATATAAACGCAACATGTAAAGTGTTAGTCCCATGTTTCATGAGCTGAAATAAAATATCCCAAAAATTTTCCGTAAGCACAAAAAGCTTATTTCTCTCAAATGCTGTACACAAATTTGTTTACATCCCTGTTAGTGAGCATATCAAGAAGCTGATTAAACAGCATGATGATTACGCAGGTGCACCTTCTGCTGGGGACAATAAAAGGCCAGTCTAAAACGTGCCGTTTTGTCACAAAACACAATGCCACAGATGTCTCAAGTTTTGAGGGAGTGTGCAATTGGCATGCTGACTACAGGAATGTCCACAGGAGCTGTTGCCAGAGAACTGAATGTTCATTTCTCTACTATAAGCCACCTGCATCATCGTTTTAGAGAATTTGGCAGTACGTCCAACCAGCCTTACAACCGCAGACCATGTGTAACAACGCCAGCCCAGGACTTCCACATCCGGCTTCTTCACCTGTGGGATCGTCTGAGACCAGCCACCTGGACAGCTGATGAAACTGTGGGTTTGCGCAACCAAAAAATGTCTGCAAACTGTCAGAAACCGTCTCAGGGAAGCTCATCTGGATGCTTGTCGCCTTCACCAGGGACCAGACTGCAGTTCGGCACCGTAACAGACTTCAGTGGATAAATGCTCACCTTCAATGGCCACAGGCACGCTGGAGAAGTGTGCTTTTCACGGATGAATCCCGGTTTCAACTGTACCGGGCAGATGGCAGACGTGTATGGCGTCATGTGGGCGAGCGGTTTGTTGATGTCAACGTTGTGAACAGAGCACCCCATGGTGGCGGTGGGGTTATGGTATGGGCAGGCATAAACTACTGACAACGAACACAATTGCATTTCATCAAAGGCAATTTGAATGCACAGAGATACCGTGACGAGATCCTGATGCCCATTGTCGTGCCATTCATCTGCCGCCATCACCTCATGTTTCAGCATGATAATACATGGCCCCATGTCGCAAGGATCTGTACACAATTCCTGTAAGCTGAAAATGTCCCAGTTCTTCCATGGCCTGCATACTCACCAGACATGTCACACTTTGAGCACACCAGATACTGACTGGTTTTCTGATCCATGTCCCTACCTTTAAGGTATCTGTGACCAACAGATGCATATCTATATTCCCAGTCATGTGAAATCCATAGATTAGGGCCAAATTAATTTATTGCAATTGACTGATTTTCTTATATGAACTGTAACTCATTCCCAAAAAAATTATGTTGCGTTTATATTTTTGTTCAGTGTAGCATTCCTCTCTGTTTGATTCAGGTTTTTGAGTAGGCTAAATTAGCTGCATTAGCTAGCTAAGTAAGTGAAAGGTAAACTAAAAATAAATACAATGAAATATAACTCTTTCATTCTCTGCTGCTTCTCCTTCATTTTTTAAGAAATTAATTTGTCTTTCTATTGTCTTTCTCTCTCTCGGAGTCAACTACTCACATTTTATGCACTGCAGTGCTAGCTAGCAGTAGATTATGCTCTCATTATTAGATTAATGCTCTGATCCTTTGATTGGATGGACAACATGTCAGTTCATGCTGCAAGAGCTCTGATAGGTTAGAGGACGTCCTCTGGAAGTTGTGTTTTAACAGTGTGTTTTAATCAGTTATTTGGTGACATGTGAATACATTTAATATAGTTTTATCTAAAAATGATATTTTTTTAAAAAGTTTGACTATTTAAAAAAAATCTAATTCACTTAATAGCATGGTCCTCCCCTTCCTCCTGTGAGCCTCCTCCACTGATCTGGGTGATATGACACACCATCCACAGATCAATTACCATACTTGACAACACTCAAAGGGATATTCAGTGGTTTAGAATTATTTCTTAACCTCCCCTGATCTATGCCTGTCCAAAAATGTATCCCAGACATGCTTTTAAAGCTCATTGGGGGTGGTTCTGAGGTTGAATCATTGTTTGACATTCACTATCCAATAGAGGGACATTACAGAGACAGGGAAAGTTGTTCTTAAATCATGAAAACCACAACTTTTGCAAACAGATGGACCTCCTTTAACAAATTGTGTGATTTTGTATGAAGTGAATCTTTGTATCAAATTATCTTTTACTTGGAAAATGGGGGAGTATGTCGTGTAAATCAGTAAGAAAAAATCCCATTTTAATCTTTTTTTTGATTGAAGTTTTAGGCCGCAAAATGTGAAAACTGGGCAAGGGTGTGTAGACTTTCACTAGGCACTGTAACTCTTACTCATCCACCACACACTCCAAGAAATTCAAAGTGAGGAGGTACAATACAGTCAGAGGTTTGGTCCTAGAGAAGCAGTCACACCATTAGCAAACACATGCAGTTGCTCCAAAGATTTGGGTCCAGTTTCCCGGACAGAGATTAACCGTTGTCCTGGACAAAAAAATTATTCTCAATTGAAAGCGCTTTTTAGTCCAGAACTAGGCTAATTCTCTGTCCAGGAAACCGGCTCTTAGGTTGTACTGTATTCATAATACTTTAAAAAAAAACAAATCTAGCACCTGGTTTGTTTTTGTAAGAACCATTAGTATTAACCAACTTTTCATTTCATCTTTAATTATACGTGTTAGTCTCAATGAGATAAACTCACTTTTGCAAGAGAAACCTGAAAGTTGAAAAGGCGGTTTCCCGGACACAGATTAAGCCTAGTCCTGGACTAAAAAGCTATCTCAATGGAGAATCTGGTGCCAACTTTTAGGTGATGGTTAACTGTTTGAATGACCCTATAGGGTCACAGCCATTCAACACAACAACAGACACAAAGACAATCTCCCACTCTTGACAAAATTGACAATGTTAGAACAGACATTTATAATACATATTTATAATTCAGGGGCATATGTAGTTCACTATAATGAACATAACCTCGCTGCCAAAAGGTAAATTTGCATATACTGTATATATTTGGCTACGATACATTGCTTTGTAGGAAAGGTCTATAAAATGGGCATTAAAAGAGGTTATCGTTTTAAAACAGACACAAGTCTGTACATGTGTTTTGTTCTTTCGGTTTACATGAAAAAACAACTTAATTTCCCTCAGAATACAAAACAGTATGAAAAAGGTGCCATATGGACTTTAAAATGTCCTCTTGTTTTTTGGTTTGTTTACAAAAAAAGGAAAGCTTTTTAAAAAAGGCCCTTGCTTTTCTTCAGGTTCTTCTGTTTCCAGTTTGGCAGGGCGTTGAATTCGGTGCGAGTCATCTCCAAGACACTCTGTAACACAGACATTCATAGGAAAATAGAATAAGTGTGATAGCAGTCATATTCATTACCATTATGCCACAGCACAGTTTTTTTTTTCTCGGTACCAGACAAAGCACTCCGGTAATATGATAAATGGATGTCATTTTCGCTAACAACCCAATTGGATTCTCTAAATAGCTCTCGAGTCATGGAGTGCACTCAGAATTATGACAAATTATTATACACACATGACAATGTGCATGTTCGAGATGGATGTGTGTATGTGGTTAAATGTACAGTGGGGAAAAAAAGTATTTAGTCAGCCACCAATTGTGCAAGTTCTCCCACTTAAAAAGATGAGAGAGGCCTGTAATTTTCATCATAGGTACACGTCAACTATGACAGACAAATTGATTTAAAAAAATCCAGAAAATCACATTGTAGGATTTTTAATGAATTTATTTGCAAATTATGGTGGAAAATAAGTATTTGGTCACCTACAAACAAGCAAGATTTCTGGCTCTCACAGACCTGTAACTTCTTCTTTAAGAGGCTCCTCTGTCCTCCACTCGTTACCTGTATTAATGGCACCTGTTTGAACTTGTTATCAGTATAAAAGACACCTGTCCACAACCTCAAACAGTCACACTCCAAACTCCACTATGGCCAAGACCAAAGAGCTGTCAAAGGACACCAGAAACAAAATTGTAGACCTGCACCAGGCTGGGAAGACTGAATCTGCAATAGGTAAGCAGCTTGGTTTGAAGAAATCAACTGTGGGAGCAATTATTAGGAAATGGAAGACATACAAGACCACTGATAATCTCCCTCGATCTGGGGCTCCACGCAAGATCTCACCCCGTGGGGTCAAAATGATCACAAGAACGGTGAGCAAAAATCCCAGAACCACACGGGGGGACCTAGTGAATGACCTGCAGAGAGCTGGGACCAAAGTAACAAAGCCTACCATCAGTAACACACTACGCCGCCAGGGACTCAAATCCTGCAGTGCGAGACGTGTCCCCCTGCTTAAGCCAGTACATGTCCAGGCCCGTCTGAAGTTTTCTAGAGTGCATCTGGATGATCCAGAAAAGGATTGGGAGAATGTCATATGGTCAGATGAAACCAAAATAGAACTTTTAGGTAAAAACTCAACTCGTCGTGTTTGGAGGACAAAGAATGCTGAGTTGCATCCAAAGAACACCATACCTACTGTGAAGCATGGGGGTGGAAACATCATGCTTTGGGGCTGTTTTTCTGCAAAGGGACCAGGACGACTGATCCGTGTAAAGGAAAGAATGAATGGGGCCATGTATCGTGAGATTTTGAGTGAAAACCTCCTTCCATCAGCAAGGGCATTGAAGATGAAACGTGGCTGGGTCTTTCAGCATGACAATGATCCCAAACACACCGCACGGGCAACGAAGGAGTGGCTTCGTAAGAAGCATTTCAAGGTCCTGGAGTGGCCTAGCCAGTCTCCAGATCTCAACCCCATAGAAAATATTTGGAGGGAGTTGAAAGTCCGTGATGCCCAGCGACAGCCCCAAAACATCACTGCTCTAGAGGAGATCTCCATGGAGGAATGGGCCAAAATACCAGCAACAGTGTGTGAAAACCTTGTGAAGACTTACAGAAAACGTTTGACCTGTGTCATTGCCAACAAAGGGTATATAACAAAGTATTGAGAAACTTCTGTTATTGACCAAATACTTATTTTCCACCATAATTTGCAAATAAATTCATTAAAAATCCTACAATGTGATTTTCTGGATTTTTTTTTCTCATTTTGTCTGTCATAGTTGACGTGTACCTATGATGAAAATTACAGGCCTCTCTCATCTTTTTAAGTGGGAGAACTTGCACAATTGGTGGCTGACTAAAGACGTTTTTCCCCCACTGTATGTAAAAACAGATTCCCTATAGATCATTTATTTCTAAAATAATAAACATTTTAAACAGAACAGCCTCAATTCATTGAAGCATTGACTCTACAAGGTGTCAAATGTGGTCCACAGGGATGCTGGCCCATGTTGACTCATATGATTCCCACAGTTGTGTCAAGTTTGCTGGATGTCCTTTGGGTGGTGGACCATTCTTGATACACATGGGAAAGTGTGAAAAACCCAGCAGCGTTGCAGTTCTTGACACAAACCGGTGCGCCTGGCACCTACTACCATACCCCGTTCAAAGACACTTAAATGTTTTGTCTTGCCCATTCACCCTCTGAATGGCACACACACAATCCATGTCTCAATTGTCTCAAGGCTTAAAAATCCTTCCTTAACCTGTCTCTTCCCCTTCATCTACACTGATTGAAGTGGATTTAACAAGTGACATCAATAAGGGATCATAGCTTTCACCTGGATTCACCTGGTCAGTCTATAGTATGTCATGGAAAGAGCAGGTGTCCTTAATGTTTTGTATACTCAGTGTAGAGTATAACCGCTCGGCTACCTCCATCACGTTCACTCTCAAAATATATAAATACAACTTTTATGTGTTATATTAACCAGTATTTCAAAACAATAAAACCTTGCTCCAATTGTAAAGCTATATGTAATGTTAATCTAGGTATATATTATGTCTTTCCTTTTAGATTTTTGGTGTGTTCTTTTATGCCCTATTGGATTGTTGTACATATCGTATTTTGATGTTGTAAATGTGTCTATTGTTGTTTATGAAAGATTTGTCTCAAATATATCAATACAACTTTTACATTCAGCTAAATAGTTTCAGTTCCACCTAGTATGGTTCCAGTAAGTTCCTGTACCTGGAAGTCCTGGTCTGAAAGGTAGATCTCCAGGCGGAGGGGGTCCACTCCTTCTGGTAGAGGCTTGGCCGTCAGCTCCTCCACAGAGTATTGGTTCTTACTCAGCCGGTTCAGGGCGTCCTGCACCAACGTCACTTTGTTGCGCGCCCCCTCCGCCTACACACACAGGATATCAGCAACAGCTTATCATACTCAGACTTAAAAGGAAAAACACAACATGCTATATTAGGGGAAGGCACCACCCTAACCCCTCCCCTGTCCCAAAGTACACCTTAGTTTACAATTTGGGCTGTACAAGATGAACTGTATGGCAACATGGAGGTATCAATCACTTTGCAGGTTAGCAGTGTAACATTAATCCACCTCACAGGAAGATTCCCACCCCTCCTTAACACAAAGACATTTGTGTTAAGTCTCTCACGATCAACTACTTTATTACTGACTAGAAGGGTATTCTCGTATTAGTTTGGGAGTAGGGCAGTCGGTCTCTTGCCTGGGTGGTGATGTTGGGATCTCTCTCCCAGTAGGGGAAGATGTTGGTGAAGGTCAGTGGTTCAGAGCCCGCTAGGACCAGGTAGGCCTGAGGGGGGCGGCGAGAGTTCTTCTCTGAAATACGACAGCACAACACACAACATTATCAATAGTCAACTCAACTACCACAACCTTCATATACATACAACACAACATTATCAATAGTAATCTCAACTACCACAACCTTCATATACAGTGGGGAGAACAAGTATTTGATACACTGCCGATTTTGCAGGTTTTCCTACTTACAAAGCATGTAGAGGTCTGTAATTTTTATCATAGGTACACTTCAACTGTGAGAGACGGAATCTAAAACAAAGATCCAGAAAATCACATTGTATGATTTTTAAGTAAATAATTTGCATTTTATTGCATGACATAAGTATTTGATCACCTACCAACCAGTAAGAATTCCGGCTCTCACAGACCTGTTAGTTTTTCTTTAAGAAGCCCTCCTGTTCTCCACTCATTACCTGTATTAACTGCACCTGTTTGAACTCGTTACCTGTATAAAAGACACATGTCCACACACTCAATCAAACAGACTCCAACCTCTCCACAATGGCCAAGACCAGAGAGCTGTGTAAGGACATCAGGGATAAAATTGTAGACCTGCACAAGGCTGGGATGGGCTACAGGACAATAGGCAAGCAGCTTGGTGAGAAGGGAACAGCTGTTGGCGCAATTATTAGAAAATGGAAGAAGTTCAAGATGACGGTCAATCAACCTCGGTCTGGTGCTCCATGCATGATCTCACCTCGTGGGGCATCAATGATAATGAGGAAGGTGAGGGATCAGCCCAGAACTACACGGCAGGACCTGGTCAATGACCTGAAGAGAGCTGGGACCACAGTCTCAAAGAAAACCATTAGTAACACACTACGCCGTCATGGATTAAAATCCTGCAGCGCACGCAAGGTCCCCCTGCTCAAGCCAGCGCATGTCCAGGCCCATCTGAAGTTTGCCAATGACCATCTGGATGATCCAGAGGAGGAATGGGAGAAGGTCATGTGGTCTGATGAGACAAAAATAGAGCTTTTTGGTCTAAACTCCACTCGCCGTGTTTGGAGGAAGAAGAAGGATGAGTACAACCCCAAGAACACCATCCCAACCATGAAGCATGGAGGTGCAAACATCATTCTTTGGGGATGCTTTTCTGCAAAGGGGAAAGGACGACTGCACTGTATTGAGGGGAGGATGGATGGGGCCATGTATCGCGAGATCTTGGCCAACAACCTCCTTCCCTCAGTAAGAGCATTGAAGATGGGTCGTGGCTGGGTCTTCCAGCATGACAACGACCCGAAACACACAGCAAGGGAAACTAAGGAGTGGCTCCGTAAGAAGCATCTCAAGGTCCTGGAGTGGCCAAAACAGTCCAGACCTGAACCCAATAGAAAATCTTTGGAGGGAGCTGAAAGTCCGTATTGCCCAGCGACAGCCCCGAAACCTGATGGATCTGGAGAAGGTCTGTATGGAGGAGTGGGCCAAAATCCCTGCTGCAGTGTGTGCAAACCTGGTGAAGACCTACAGGAAACGTATGATCTCTGTAATTACAATCAAAGGTTTCTGTACCAAATATTAAGTTCTGCTTTTCTGATGTATCAAATACTTATGTCATGCAATAAAATGCAAATTAATTACTTAAAAATCATACAATGTGATTTTCTGGATTATTGTTTTAGATTCCGTCTCTCACAGTTGAAGTGTACCTATGATAAAAATTACAGACCTCTACATGCTTTGTAAGTAGGAAAACCTGCAAAATCGGCAGTGTATCAAATACTTGTTCTCCCCACTGTACATATAACACATTATCAATAGTAACCTCAACTACCACAACCTTCATATACATATGACACAACATTATCAATAGTCAACTCAACTATCACAACCTTAATTTACATATAACACATTATCAATAGTAACCTCAACTACTATATCATATTCACTACATCTACTTAAACATATAAATACACAAAACCTAAACTAACAGCACTGTGTCAATATAGCCTCTGTTGAGTCTAATAAATATAATAATGATCATAATACATTAGATTTAACTATCTCTTTTTCCTTTCTCTTATGCTTCTGTTCACCTCTCTGTCAACGTCTTCCTTCACTCTCGTGACCTCTGACTGACCTTTGCAGTACTGCAGCACAGTCTCCATGGCACACTTCTTCTGGTTCTCCCAGCGGATCTTGGCTGAGCCTGTACACTCTCCGTCGTCGGGCTGCCGGCCCTGCCACAGGTACACCTCCATACGGTTATCTAGCATGAAGAGGGCTGGAGGGAGACAGAGTAAGGGAGATGGAGGGAGATGAATGAAAGAGAGGTGTAGAAAGCAGAGAGGGCGTGTGCATGCAATAAATATTGAGGACAGAAACAGAACGAGTAAGAAGAGCGCTAGAGATAGAGCTATCCATCCAGGGTCTGTACCTGGCTGTTGTGCAGAGTAGAGGTTCTCCTGGAGGAAGGGCATGGCCATGACAGCCCCTGTCACACGGGCCGGGCTCAGCAGTTCCTCCCCCTCAAATACCCCTGAGCTGGCGCTCAGACAGAACAGACGCGGGGTGAAGTTGTACTTCCCTGGATCTGGACCAAACAACAACATACAGGTGAAAAACAACAACAACAACAACAACACAGCTGACTGAGGTAAGCTGGATGTGTAGCAAGTGCAGGACAATAGCAACATATAATATCCTATAATAATTATCTGGCAGATGCTAATATCCAAAGAGACATACTCAATACATATAGTCAGTATAGTGTGTGTTATAGTAAGGAATAGTGTTACAATAAGGAGTGTGTGTTACAATAAGGCATGTGCATTACGGTAAGGAGTGCGTGTTACGGTAAGTAGGAAATGTTACGGAATGAGTATGTGGTATGTAGAAACTATGTGTGTTACACTCAGGAGTGTGTTACGGTACGGTTAGTGTGAGTTACGATAAAGAGTGTGTTACCATCCAGGGAGCGTATGTTATGATAAGATGTGTATGTTACGGTACAGTAAGAATGTGTTGCGGTAAGGAGTCAGTTTATGTTATGGTATTGGAGCCTAGTGCATTCGGAAAGTATTCAGACCCCTTGACTTTTTCCACATTGTTACGTTACAGCCGTATTCTAAAAGATTAAACACATTTTTTTTATATACACAATACCCCTTAATGACAAAACGAAAAACTGGTTTTTAGAATTTTTAGCAAATTTATAAAAATAAAAAAACAGAAATACCTTATTTACATAAGTATCGAGACCCTTTGCTATGGGACTCAAAATTTAACTCCGGTGCATCCACTTTCCATTGATCATCCTTGAGATGTTTCTACAACTTGATTGGAGTCCACCTGTGGTCAATTCAATTGATTGGACATGATTTGGAAAGGCACATGATTTGGAAAGGCACACACCTGTCGATATAAGGTCCCACATTTGACCGTGCATGTCAGACCAGAAACCAAGCCATGAGGTCGAAGGAATTGTCCGCAGAGCTCCGAGACAGGATTGTGTCGAGGCACAGATATGGGGAAGGGTACCAAACAATTTCTGCAGCATTGAAGGTCCCCAAGAATACAGTGGCCTCCATCACTCTTAAATGGAAGAAGTTTGGCACCAAGACTCTTCCTAGAGCTGGCCACCCGCCCAAACTCAGCAATCGGGCAGAAGGGCCTTGGCCAGGGAGTTGACCAAGAACCCGATGGTCACCGTGACAGCGCTCCAGAGTTCCTCTGTGGAGATGGGAGAACTTTCCAGAAGGACAACCATCTCTGCAGCACTCCACCAATCAGGCCTTTATGGTTGAGTGGCCAGATGGAAGCCACTCCTCAGTAAGGCACATGACAGCCCGCTTGGAGTTTGCCAAAAGGCACCTAAAGGACTCTCAGACCTTGAGAAACAAGATTCTCTGGTCTGATGAAACCAAGATTGAACTCTTTGGCCTGAATGCCAAGCGTCACGTCTGGAGAAAACCTGGCACCATCCTACGGTGAAGCATGGTGGTGGCAGCATCATGCTGTGGAGAGGTTTTTCAGGGGCAGGGACTGAGAGACTAGTCAGGATCAAGGGAAATATGAATGGAGCAAAGTACAGAGAGATCCTTGATGAAAACCTGCTCCAGAGCGCTCAGGACCACAGACTGGGGCGAAGGTTCACCTTACAACAGGACAACGACCCTAAGCACACAGCCAAGACAATGCAGGAGTGGCTTCGGGACAAGTCTCTGAATGTCCTTGAGTGGCCCAGCCAGAGCCCGGACTTGAACCCCATCGAACATCTCTGGAGAGACCTGAAAATAGCTGTGCAGCGACACTCCTCATTCAACCTGACAGAGCTTGAGAGGATCTGCAGAGAAGAATGGGAGAAACTCCCCAAATACAGGTGTGCCAAGCTTGTAGCATAATACCCAAGAAGACTTGAGGCTGTAATTGCTGCCAAAGATGCTTCAACAAAGTACTGAGTAAAGGGTCTGAATACTTACGTAAATGTATATTTCAGTTTTTTATTTTAAAAAACAAAAAACAGTTTTTGCTTTGTCATTATGGGGTATTGTGTGTAGATTGATGATGGAAAAAAAACAATTGAATCAATTTGAGAAAAAGTCTGTAACGTAACAAAATGTGGAAAAAGTAAAGGGGTCTGAATACTTTCCGAATGCCTACGGTAAGGAATATGTATGTTAGGGTAAGGAATCTGTATTTTACGCTAAATAATCTGTATGTTACAGTAAGACTACCATTAAGACGTGCGTTACAGTGTAGTCAAAATGTGATACGATAAGGAGAGAGGGTTACGGTAAGGAGTGTGAATGTGTTACTGTAAGAAGTGGTACGGTACCTTGGAGCATGCAGTCATATGCCTTCCTGTCCTGCTGTCCCAGAGCATTCCTGAACCCAACTGGCTCCGTGCCTTCCTCTACCTCCTCCACCTTCAGACTGCTGTTACTGTTCAGGCCCAGCTCAGAAGGATGCCTTGTAGACACACACGTAAGCAGACACACAACCACACATTAACAAACAAACACATTTATTTCCATACACTAAACAAATGGCACACCAAACAACTAGTCAGAGCCTAAAAACGAATGTATTTGCTTTACGTTTGGTCATAGCCGCAGAGTTGCTATGTCAAAATAAAGCAGACAGCACCAAGTCTCTCCCATAAACAGAGACCGTATAAGATCCTCACCTCTGCTTGAGCATTTCCACGGCCCTGGTGCCCACCTCCCTGGCGCCGGCGTGGGACTTACATCCATGCCACAGGTAGAGCTGTTCCTGGTGGGCCGCCAGCAGAACCAGGGTGGCACGGGAACGCAGGCTGGCACAGCAACACTCCACCTCCACCAGGGAAGCCTCCACAGTGGCTTCCCCGCGCACGCAGTACAGACGCCAGCCGCCTGGACAGGGAGACACACGGACAAATTCAAGCAGACACACATTCAAGTATGCACACAAACATATTAAAGCAGACACACACAAGCTCAGTGGCACAAAATAGACTGAGACAACGTGTGGTAATCACAAATCAAGTTGGAAGCACTGTTTTAATGCCACTCAAGGTATCCGTTCCAGTAGTGCTAAGTGAATTATAAATAAGTGATCGCCCAGCTACTAGCCATATCCCTGATTCTGATTTTGTTTTGAAAGAGCCTACGAGATTATCTTTCCAGTAATGAAAAGAGTGCTATACAGTGGGGGAAAAAAGTATTTAGTCAGCCACCAATTGTGCAAGTTCTCCCACTTAAAAAGATGAAAGAGGCCTGTAATTTTCATCATAGGTACACGTCAACTATGACAGACAAAATGAGAGAAAAAAATTCCAGAAAATCACATTGTAGGATTTTTAATGAATTTATTTGCAAATTATGGTGGAAAATAAGTATTTGGTCACCTACAAACAAGCAAGATTTCTGGCTCTCACAGACCTGTAACTTCTTCTTTAAGAGGCTCCTCTGTCCTCCACTCGTTACCTGTATTAATGGCACCTGTTTGAACTTGTTATCAGTATAAAAGACACCTGTCCACAACCTCAAACAGTCACACTCCAAACTCCACTATGGCCAAGACCAAAGAGCTGTCAAAGGACACCAGAAACAAAATTGTAGACCTGCACCAGGCTGGGAAGACTGAATCTGCAATAGGTAAGCAGCTTGGTTTGAAGAAATCAACTGTGGGAGCAATTATTAGGAAATGGAAGACATACAAGACCACTGATAATCTCCCTCGATCTGGGGCTCCACGCAAGATCTCACCCCGTGGGGTCAAAATGATCACAAGAACGGTGAGCAAAAATCCCAGAACCACACGGGGGGACCTAGTGAATGACCTGCAGAGAGCTGGGACCAAAGTAACATAGCCTACCATCAGTAACACACTACGCCGCCAGGGACTCAAATCCTGCAGTGCCAGACGTGTCCCCCTGCTTAAGCCAGTACATGTCCAGGCCCATCTGAAGTTTGCTAGAGTGCATTTGGATGATCCAGAAGAGGATTGGGAGAATGTCATATGGTCAGATGAAACCAAAATATAACTTTTTGGTAAAAACTCAACTCGTCGTGTTTGGAGGACAAAGAATGCTGAGTTGCATCCAAAGAACACCATACCTACTGTGAAGCATGGGGGTGGAAACATCATGCTTTGGGGCTGTTTTTCTGCAAAGGGACCAGGACGACTGATCCGTGTAAAGGAAAGAATGAATGGGGCCATGTATCGTGAGATTTTGAGTGAAAACCTCCTTCCATCAGCAAGGGCATTGAAGATGAAACGTGGCTGGGTCTTTCAGCATGACAATGATCCCAAACACACCGCCCGGGCAATGAAGGAGTGGCTTCGTAAGAAGCATTTCAAGGTCCTGGAGTGGCCTAGCCAGTCTACAGATCTCAACCCCATAGAAAATATTTGGAGGGAGTTGAAAGTCCGTGTTGCCCAGCGACAGCCCCAAAACATCACTGCTCTATAGGAGATCTGCATGGAGGAATGGGCCAAAATACCAGCAACAGTGTGTGAAAACCTTGTGAAGACTTACAGAAAACGTTTGACCTGTGTCATTGCCAACAAAGGGTATATAACAAAGTATTGAGAAACTTTTGTTATTGACCAAATACTTATTTTCCATCATTAATTTGCAAATAAATTCATTAAAGATCCTACAATGTGATTTTCTGGATATTCTTTTCTCATTTTGTCTGTCATAGTTGACGTGTACCTATGATGAAAATTACAGGCCTCTCTCATCTTTTTAAGTGGGAGAACTTGCACAATTGGTGGTTGACTAAATACTTTTTTCCCCACTGTATATACTGTATATGCAGTATAAATGTTATCAATTATTATTATTAGTAGTAGTAAGTGCTCATGTGAAACATATACCCAGGGCTCTAAATAAAAAAAAATCATTGGTAGCACTGGTGCTCCCAATTTATAACAGTTAGGAGCACAACATAAAATTTAGGAGCACCAGAAAATATGTTTAATCGATTGAGATATAGCCTATATTGGGCCTATATGTATTCTACCTACTTCTGAAGCACATATTGTGCCCTAGAAACTAATGTAACCCTGTAAATACATTTGTTTATTATAAAAATCTAAAATGTTGATACAAATACCTGTCATTGAAATGACAAAGTAATTTGTGGAATAATAGGTTTCTACATTGTGTAAAAGCCCTATTTCCTATTGAGATGCATTTCATTACAACAGTTGGTCTTAATGCTAGGTCAGTCGTAGCTACGTCTGTGACCAGAATTTACACCTGTTGCACCAACCAAAATAAGACTAGTCGCAATGCTCGTTCATGAGATATGATGCTTGATAATAGAGCCCGACCTATATGTTTTTTGGGGTCCGATACCGATTCAGATTTGTTTAGGGACAAAACCTACCGATATATCTGCCGTTATACTGTTTTACAGCGGGGAAATTAAAACGTTTTATTTTTCCATCCTGAATTCTCATAAAATTCCATCCAAAAGAGCAATTGTCGAAGAAATATGCTTATATTGTGACAATAATCACACATGAGAATGGCCACAAGTGTTCAGATAAGCATGAGATTCCCTTTTTTTCATCCTATTTATTGAATATCGGTTATCTGTGAATACTGATATAGCGTTAAAAGGCCAATCTCCGATTGGATACTTGTGACTACATTTCCCATTTGAGTCTTATGTACCATTTCCAAGATTGTACTTTTATCAAATGTACAAAAAAGCCAGACTCAGAGCTTCAAAATGGTATATCATACACTAGTGGCGGTCAGTGCCGTTTAAGATTAGGTAGGACCACTTTCTTTTCATGAGGATGGCCTTAATTCTATTACAGCAAATTGGATGACTGTTATTCATATTCCATTTACCCAGTTCAAAGTAACAGCAATAGGTTTAGGCTACTACATGATACTCTAATTTTCCCTATACCCATCATGAGGTTGCTACAACTGAATGACAGTTTACAACGTAGGTGCACACAGGTCGAGAGACAAATTTGAGGTGACAGACAGTGACACATGGACAGACAGTGACATTAAATATCGCCTTGCACACTCTTGCCTGCATTTAGCTGATATAGGGTGTAATCATTAGTCCAACAGTTGCAAACAAGTTTCTATTGGACAAATTCAGGTATGTTTATCCCTGTTTTGTTCCGTTTAAGAAACGTTTTTCAACAGAATCGGCAGAATGAATACACCCCTGATCACGTGTAAACACAGTTCACTTTCATAGCAGCCAAGTTGTATTCCTTCTCGCATCTATGCGCTCTCCTCCTCTCACCTCTTCCCTTTGCTTGTGGACTTCAATGCACAACACATCAGCTGTATGTGACCAGGGGAAAAAACCTTTCCAAGACAAACAGCTACACACAGCCTACATCGTTGTCACCATATTAGTTAAAGTAACGTCACAGTCAGCATAGCTAATAGAACTAACACGTTTGTAAACCCGATACAATCATGCAGTAACGATACAGTGTACAGTCAGTAAGCAGTTACACCGGCGGGCCCCGGTGGCAATAAAACCAAAAGCTTACTTTGACTTGGAAGAGTTCCAGTGTTGTGTTGGAAAGTCAGCTAGCTAACATAGCATCCCTCTGTTTGAGTAGGGTGTTTCAGTAGGCTAAACTAGCTAGCTTCATTTGCTAGCTAAGTAAGTGAAACTGAAAAAAAACGTACGAAATCTTGCTTCTCCTTCATTTTGGAAAAAATTAATTTGTTCAAAACTGTTCAACTACTGTCTTTCTCTCTCTTTGAGTCAAATACTCACCACATTTTATGCACTGCAGTGCTAGCTAGCTGTAGCTTATGCTTTCAGCAATAGATTAATTCTCTGATCCTTTGATTGGGTGGACAACATGTCAGTTCATGCTGCAAGAGCTCTGATAGGTTGGAGGATGTCCTCTAGAATTTGTCATAATTACTGTGTAAGTCTACGGAAGAGGGTGAGAACCATGAGCCTCCTAGGTGTTGTATTGAAGTCAATGTACCCAGAGGAGGACGGAAGCTAGCTGTCCTCCGGCTACACCGTGGTTGTTGAGGCTACTGTAGACCTTCTTTGTAAAATTTTGTGTTTTAATCAATTATTTGGTGACGTGATTATATTTAGTATAGTTTTACCTAAAAGGATAACGTTTTAAATGTTTTACAATTTCATTTTTATGAAATTCACTGAGGAGGATTGTCCTCTCCTCCCTCCGCTGAGGAGCCTCCACTGTCATACACTGCAGATTGGGGAAACATGGGAAAGTTATTTTTATTTGAAATGTGATAAACTTATTCCACCTTGTAGACAAACAGCAGAAAATTCCCTTTAAAGTTTCAAACTTGCTCGAGAGCTCTTTTTTAAGTACGCCCATTCAGCAGTGTTCACACCCTCTTAAACCTTAGCCCCACCCATCTCTTTAAGTATTCATGTGTGGCTATGTGCTAAACTGAGTGATTAAGGTAGTGTAGTAAACAAGTGGTGAAATTTATAGCCTACAATAAGGAAAATCTCCAGGTAAAAATACACTTTATCTAGTCCTTAGCCTATATCCTAACATGTTGTTCTTCACATGGTAAACACACTATATCAAATCAATCCAAATCAAAGTTAATTTGTCATGTGCACAGGATACAGAAGGTAAACAGTACAGTGAAATGCTTCCTTGCAAGCTCTTCTTCAACATGCAATATCAATAGAAAAGTATCAATAGAAAAAATTTGAACATAAAAATGCAGTAGATGGCCATATCACACCTGGCTAAATGTATGGGTCATGTAATCATCTGGCTAAGTGGAGACTTTTGTCTAGACATGTAGCAAGCCAGCTAGCTAGCTAAACAAGTTCATGAACCATAATCCCAACCCATATAGATTAGCGTTTGCATTTCGTCTGCTCAGCTTTCTTGGAACGTTATGT